AGCCTGTGCAGGGGAGGAGAGAGGGACAGGCCCAGCGGGAGAGAGAGAGGACATGGGGACCTCAAAGAGACAAAAGGACTTTCCTTCAAAAGACACAAAGCTTTACCGTATCGCAGCCCATTCTAAACCCAGACAGACCTTCCTCAGGCTGCTCCTCTGTGTTGGGAATTGCAGACGTGGCGACAAAGCTGTAGTGGGGTTGCTCAAGGGAGGAGGAAGGGTCTGGGTAGGGGAAGGTGTCAGGGATATTCTGCTGCCGTGTGCTCTGTGATACAGCACTGCCCAAGACACCACATGCCCCAGGAGGGCTCGTGTCACCTCTTTGGACTGTGAATGGGACAGGCTGCTCATTCCCTAGTTCAGTGGTGCTCAGCCGCTCTTTCATTGGAGACCCTTGGAGCTGGGAACATTTTTGTTGAGAAAAAAAAAGCCAGTCTCCCCATCCCCACCGTGTTTGCACTGGGCACCGAGCCGGGAAAAGAAAATACCAGTGGGCCAGTATCAAAGTGCTGCGACCCCCCAGGAAGACAGCTGCTACCCCCATGGGGTTGTGCACCGCTGCCCTAGTTCACTCGATTTCAGGATCCCACCCGACTGTGATCTGGATACTGCATGTGCCCCTCTGCTCCTCCCACCCTTTTCATTCCTGGACCTACCCCAGAAAGATCTCTACAAGCATCTGATTTCCTCTGAGCCAGGCATGTGCTGTTACTTTTACAGTCTCTTCGTGAGTCTCGTCCTCTCCACGCCCAGAGATGCAGAGAAGGGGCAGAGCAGATCCCGCTCCGCTAACACAAAAAAATGTTAGCATGACTGTTTTGAAATTCTAAGCTGGTGAGTTTGAGGTTTCTGGATCCCTCCTGTCATTTCTTCTGTGCTCCCCACAAGCTCACCCAGAATTAGTGTCCACAGGGCAAGTCCAGCTGAAGTCACTGACAGTTAACAGGATTTTTATTTAAGTCTCTACACGTGAATTTAGGGGGAACTCATGGTCTTGTTCAGGGTTTTACCACTGATCTCATTGGGACCGGAGTCCTCCGCAGTGGTTGGCTTTTGGATCCCAGCTGCAGAAAGAACGGTTTGGGATCCTGCTACAAAGAGCTCTAGTCTGCAGGATGCTGAAAGTGTCACAAAGAAACCCCCAGTTTCTCTGGCACTCAGAGGGAACCAGGATTCCAAAACTCCAGAGACCAGATTGTGCTGTCAGGGAGGCCAGAGTCAATCTGGAGTGACCCACTGTGGGCAGAAGGGGGGAGCAGAATCTGGCCAGTGTATGGCCCATGCTTGTTGTGAACCCTCCAGTCACACAGACACCCAGAGTGGAGCCTTTGGCTGCGCTCCCTAGCAGGGCAGTGACGTGTCTGAACTAGAGAACCTGAGTGAGCCAAAGGAATCTCCATGTGCACCAGAAAAGGGAAGCCACCGAGACAGAGAGAAGGACACAGTCAGAGACAAGGAATTGAACTGTAACACAAACCTTTCTCTAAATGATTTGTAAAAAATTTTTACCTCTAGTTTTGTCAGGTAAATCGACTGGTGTTTCTGACAATGCTGAACAGCTCAAGTCTTTGTGCTAGTGAATTCCTCTCCTGATTGTTCTTGCCTTAAACACTGGAAATCTTCCTCAGGCCTAAGCTCCAACTTTATTGCAGAAACAGGCCACTCACTGAAATCCTGCTCAGCAGAGGGAGGAAATCTTCCAGCGTGACAGGGAGACCGAGCCCTGAGCACCAGCGTAGGAATCTCGTATGTCTGATGCTCCGTGTGCTGCAGAGCGACCTTTATGGTTCAGTTCATTCCCTGAGGAAACTCGCGTTGTCCTGGACACCCGGACAATTCCTTGGGTCCCATGAGCAGGGGAAGAACAGAAAGCAGAACCAGGCACATTCAGCCCGCAAGCCTCTCCTGGGGGGGAAGAAACAATTTGCCAACATCAGGTGCTCAGACCATCAAGGGCAACTCCTTCGTCTGGCAGACTGGGCAGAGGGATCTGGAGCTACTGAAACCCCAGAGAGAAGAGGAAGAGCCAAGTCTGAGATGTGCTCCCGTGTGTATCAGCATTTCTGGGCTGCTCCCCATCCCCCTTGAGAGGGAGCGTCCCCTCCTCCTCTCCTGGCTGGGATTTTAGGGGGATCTCTTTGGCAACCCTATGGGACACATACTTTTCTGCCCCGCTTCTCACTTTCTCTCCACCCCTACCTGTCTTTTTTGCCTCTGAGAACAGTAGCATCACATGAAACATGACCTGGATTCATTTTAGATGTTTTTCTTTTATTCCACAGAGACATTCTGCTGTTGTGGGAGGTTGGCTTCTCAGGGACATTTCTGTATCCCCCCCAAGCAATGATTAACACAAGCATTGCTGCTATCTGCACACACAGCATCGATACACTCCCTGAAAATGCACCTCTGGTAACAGACCTATTACTTCCTCAGTGCCCGTAATCAAACACTCATGAGACAGAAGACTCCAAGAATTGTGAGTGAGCCCAAAGTCAGAGGCCTTGTTTATTGAATGAAGGCAATGTGAAAAGGTCACATGGCATGGATG